AGAGTCTTTGTATTATCGCGAAAACTTTGATCCGAGGAATTGGAGTCTTTGATTTCGAGAAAATTTTATCCCAGGAATTGGAGTCTTTTTTATTATCGAGAAAAAACCTTGATCCAAGGAAGTAGAGTCTTTGTATTATCGAGAAAACCTTGATCCGAGGAGATGGAGTCTTTGTATTATCGAGAAACCCTTGATCCAAGGAAGTAGAGTCTTAGTATTATCGAGAAAAACTTGATCCAAGGAGATGGAGACTTGGTATTATCGAGAAAAAATTGGGATGGGGGGTGAAAGTGGATGGTGGGGGAAATCTTTGTATTATTGATATCGAGAAAAATTTGATCCGAGGAATTGGAGTCTTTGTATTATCGAGAAAATCTTGATCCAAGGAAGTAGAGTCTTTGTATTATCGAGAAAAAAAAATTTGGGTTGAAGTGGGAGTCCATTTTGAATGCTTATACCCAGAGGGGGGAACCCAAAAATTTGATCCGAGGAGATCATAAGAAAAAAAAAATTCGAAAAATTTGGGGTGGGGGTGAAAGTGGGAGGGGCAATCCAAAAAACTTGATTCGAGGAAGTGGAGAGCACAAGAAATTCAAAAAAAAATTCGAAAAAAATCGGAAGAAAATTCGGGGAGCGGGGGCGATCCGGACGACGCTGCAGAAGGCGCAGCAGAAGGTGCAGGCGGGCGCGACGGGCGGGCGCGAGGGCGCGGGGCGGGCGCGAGGGCGCAGCGGGGGGGACGGGGGTGGCGTGGGTGGGGGGTCGTGGGGCGCAGGGGGGGGTTGAGGGTGAGGTGGTCTCGAGGGCGAGGTGGTCTCGAGGGCGAGGTCAAGGTCATTAGCACATAGGTGTGAAAAGGAGCCACTCAGGAAAAGGAGCCACTCAGCCGCAGCCCTTTCAGGAGGAGCCATGCTGTGGGAGCCATACTGTGGGAGCCACTCTGTAGAATGAGTCACTGAGCCGCCTTCATCACTACTTAGATATATATATACAGTGAACCCCTGCATAACGATTACCTCCGAAAGCGACCAATTATGTAAGTTTATTTATGTAAGTGCGTTTGTATGTGTATGTTTGGGGGTCTGAAATGGACTAATCTACTTCACAATATTCCTTATGGGAACAAATTCGGCCAGTACTGGCACCTGAACATACTTCTGGAGTGAAAAAATATCGTTAACCGGGGGTCCACTGTATATGCAAACAATCACAGACAGGCTATCTTAACAATGCAAGACAAGCTACGGGGGTGGAAATCTTTAGCTCAAGTAATTTCACACTTCTCAGTGAGTCATCAGGAGCTATGCAATGTTGCAAGGCAGCAACTGAAGCAGTGAGGGGAAGTTTTCTCAGAGAAGCGCAGTGCGTCTGTCACTTGCTGCAGCCTCTCTGGGAATGTGAACCAACTGTCTGCGTGCCACCCGCACCACCACATACATATGTGCATATCCATCTTCTGAACTACCATCACCACTGCCATTACCACCGCTACCACGACCACCAATACCACCTCTGCCACCACAACCACAGCAGCCTCCATTAACACCACAGCAGCCTCCATTAACACCATCACCATTACATTAACACCACCAATATTCCGCCAGCACCAAAACAGCATTACGACCTCCGCTATCACCACCATCCTCAAGACTATCACCACCACTACCATCATCATGTGCATGTGTATATATGCGAATATATTGCCTATAACAACATTAGTCAATGTATCGGCGATTCTGAAATTGCGAAATCGAAGCTCTGCACTGTGATCTAATGCAAATCAGTTTCGGAAATGGTTTACAAACAATTGAGCTGAATCAGGAGTTCCGACGTTATTAACGAAAATCTACAGATTGAGCATCCTGTAACTAACAGACGGACAGCGCTGGCATCATGACGTGCGGTATTTAAGGGTCATATAATCTAGAGACACAGATGAGCCACAGGGATGTAAGTAAATGCTTCTTCAGTCTCGGGGTCCAGGGAAAAAGAGAGTAAGTAAATCGTACAATAAGTAAATTAATGAAGTGGTCGAGTCAGACTGATAAACGATTTTAACAATAGATAAAGAACAAAAAGGCATAATTCCATGACTGGAACAATGAACAAATAACCTGCACATAATGAAATTAAGACACATGTGCAACATCTGGGTATCTTTATTGTAGGCGTTTCGCCATCCAGTGGCTTTATCAATACAAATTCTAGGACATAACTTGAAGACATCATGGAATCTTGATTCTGAGGACATGTACATAACCTTCACGACTACGACAACTACTACTACAACTAACCCATCTCTTTGGGAAGGACCTGCTTCCACTGGGGAATCCCGCCTACCAGTGACTATGCCTTCGTCTGCTACACCTGACGTTACTATATAAGCGCCAGGCTCCTTGCTTCTGCTTCAGAATCTCCACGACTATGGTGCTCATCGCACCTACTCCTAGGTTGAGGGACTGGTTACTTCATCTTCTGTATATAGTCCTATTGTCTTCAAGTTATGTCCTAGAATTTGTATTGATGAAGCCACTGGATGGCGAAACGTCTACAATAAAGATATCCAGATGTTGCACATGTGTCTTAATTTCATCTTTTCGGTATTATATACCATTCTTGCACAACCTGCACATAGGGAGAGAATCTTACGACGACGTTTCGGTCTGACTTGGACCATTTACAAGTCAAACTAACACAAAAGAGTGAGAGAATCAGAATATATAGGCGAGGAGAACAGGGATGGAACAAAGAGAGAGGAAGAAAAAGATACTACATACTACACGAAGCCTGGAACTAGTAATGCTGGCGACTATAGTTCAAGAGGCTGGGACAGAACCGAGGATCGACCCCCTCAAACGCTGCTCTGTAAGTACACTTGCGATAACTTTATTCTAAAATTATAACTATTCTTTCTATAAACAATTTTTATATACTGCATATTCTTCCATCTCTGTGTTTATTCTATTCTCCATTTCTCTTCTAGCAGCCTTGACATGTTAAATACCTAGAGAAAACAAAAATAATAAGTCGTATCGGCAGAACTGTTTGATAGAATTTCAGATATATGTAAAGAGAAAGTTACAGATCTAATAACAAGATGAAAGTTAAGACACATGTGCAACATTTGGATATCTTTATTGTAGACGTTTCGCCATCCAGTGGCTTTATCAATACAGATTCTAGGACATAATTAGAAGACAGTAGAACTATATACAAAAGATGAAGTAATCAGTCTTTCAGCCTTTGAGTTGGTGTTGAGAGCACCGTAGTGGTGGAGGTTCTGGAACAGAGGCAAGGAGACTGGATAGGGACGTGTAGCAGACGAGGGCATCGTCACTAGTAGGCGGGATTCCTCAGTGGACGTAGGTCCTACCCAAAAGGATGGGTTAGTTGTAGTAGTAGTAGTCGTATCCGTGAAGTAGGTTATGTACCTACTTTACAGCTACGGCTACTACTACTGGATGGCGAAACGTCTACAATAAAGATAACCAGATGTTGCACACGTGTCTTAACTTTCATCAGAAAGCACAATGCCGAACGACTAGAACAATGCAATTGTTGCTTTAATATTCATAGAGATAAGACGTGAAAATTCAGCTTCCTTTTCCTTACTTAAACACGAGTTTTTACTTTACTAATAGAGCAAATTACTTGGCCCAGTAAAGTATATTACTCAACGAATGATAATAACTAACGTATTAACTGAAAATTTTACACTATACATTATATCTAAATTTCCAGGAAGCTTTTGGCAAAGTTTGGTATCAAATTGCTATAATCATGGGGGAGCGGTAAACCCGTAGGGATCATACGCCTCCTGTGGGAGGGGGGATGGAAGGTACTCAGGCTTAATTCAGGGAACTGGAGCACAATCCAATTCCCTAGATCAACAGCCCCTCACCAGCGTCAAGGAACTTTTCCTGACAGAAAAGTGTTTAAGTGGCTGGACGTACGAAACGAACAAAACTTCAGTTCTTGAAATCACCCGTTTCCGAATTCTCATTAATAACCTCTGAATCGAACTCGTTTCTAAAATCACAAATATCGCAGACGACATAAAATTAGAAGGAAAATACAGTATGCATGGCAAGGCTGATCCCAGACATGGACATTGTATGTCAAGGTTGATAAGTAATGCATATTGAGTGTAACAATGTAAAGTATGTCTAAATATTTGGAAACAAAACTGTCGAGAAAAGAAAAGGGAACCTTGGAGAAGCTAAAAGCAGCAACCTTCAGAATACTAAAGGAATATACAAGTGCCATTAGGAAAGTCAATAGAATTCTAAATATCTTTGCTTGATTTTTCGAGTACTAAACATGGAAAAATAATATTGATTCTCCTTAACGCTCTTGTTAAACCACATTTTGAATATGGTTTCAAGTTTTGTTGTCATAACTACATAAGTGAAAAGACAAACTGGAGAGTAAGTGCAGTGAGTGACAATAAAACTTGTACTTTCAAGAAGAAATAAACCATGTGAAGAAAATCTGAAAGGACCAAATTAGTTTATTTAAGTTTTAAGTTTGGCTGAAGAATGGTACAAAATTAAAGAGATGAAGTTTGCAACAAAAGTTGCGGAGTTATATATCAATGGAATACACTCTCCAGTGAACTTGTAATAACAAAAGTGATTTATTGACCGAGAGGACAAACAGTAAACAGTGAAATTAAAAAGATACTATTCAGGAGCAAGAACTGGTAAACGAGAACCTAATATTAATTCAGATACTCCTTCAGAAAGATCTCTGATGATACAGTACTAACTAGAATGTAAACTAGTCGTTTTAGTTGAAGTGATAGGTTTAAAAAGTTTATGCATCAACTTCTCTTCAATCTATTCTATTAAATATCCGTGTAAACTTTTCTACAAATCATCCAGATTCTAAAGCTGTCATCGTGACCGAAAAATATGAAGAGAGCCTTCTGTTAAAATATTTTAATCTTACCTATCTAAATATAATTAACTCCCCACCCTCGTCTCCTTCAAAGAACTTACCAGCATCGCCCTGGGAAACGAGGTGAAGGTGTGTGATCTCTGAGGCCTTGACCACCTCCAGGGCCGCCTGCCTCGTCTGCCATAACATGGACCACTTTTCACTTCCTCCACATTTATTTTCTTGATGCTGTTCATGCTGGATCTGCTGTCGGTTCTGGAGATAATGTTGGTAGTGATGGCGGAGAGAACCACAAGATGTATATGTTACACCTGAACGTAGAGAAATGTGATGGAGAACCGGAAGAAAAAAGTTGTCGCATGCTTTATCTTTTTTATTATCTAAATAAAGTGTATCAAAAAGAACCAGTGAAATAAATCTCAAACTCTTCTCAAGCAAAGAAACACTAAGAACTGGCACTAAATGTTATCAAAGGGATTTAGATAAGTTAGTCTACCGCTAAGAAATGGAATATTTAAATTTTGAAACTTTAGAGAAAAGGGCTAGAATTAAAAATGAAAAATCTATGTTTAGAGAGATAACATTTCAAGATTGATTGAAAGATGATTGAACCAGCCCGAATGAGAATGGCAGAACTCATAGGGCAAAAACATTCCACGTGACTGGAAAGCCTGAGGCTCATTCTTACTAAATAACTGGAGATCAGTAAAGACAAAAATACTTATAGCAATAAACCATTCCCTAAATAAATCTCTAAAATTTTAAGTCAAAAAGGGAAGAACCACTATAATTTAGCAGGTAGATACCAGCATTTAAACATGTATTATGGGGAGATTTTCCAGAAAGTTGGAGGTTTTCTGAATACATTACAGGGCTTCGCTTTACAGCAGTTTTCAATTACGCCCATTTATTCAGACTTTCTACAATAAATATATTTACCACTCACTCTAAGGACGAAAATAATTTAAGTATTTTGTGGACTGTAAATGCAGTTTTAGGCCTACCTCTATTGCTGATTTAATATATGATAGTGTTACCATGTTATCAAATTGACGATTTAAAAAATATTCAGTTTTCAGATTATTTATTTTAATAGTAAAGGAAAAATTATTTTAGACAATGTTAAATTGTAATTAGCCACAAGACTGAAAACTGATATAGAAGTTAAATTTATTCAGTCTACCATTACGCGGCTTTTTTGTACAAATAGTTACATACATTCTGGAAGCGTTACATATCTGATAGTAGAGAGAGCTTTAGGATAAAGCACTGGAATATGCTCACATTTTGTCGTTAAACATTCTCCTCGAACTCATGTTCACAGATTCTTTGAGAGTAACGTGCATGGCAGAATATTTTTTGTTTACCTATCTTCAGCCTCTAGCAGCACTTGATGACGAGAGGAAATGCAATACCAGCAACATGCAACACCACCAGGTAAGAATTTTATCCCATCACCTTCCACTTAGCCGATTAGTTGTTTCTCGTCAATCTAAATTAAATAGGCTGATCAGGTGTGGTTCCGGAAAGTGTGATACGGACACTTCGTTATCGTTATCTGCATGGCTACCGTTTCCAATATTTCATTTAATGTAGTCTCGGACTCTAAAAATGAAATATAATCAATCAAAATCTGATTACCCTTTTCTATCTTCATGTTCTGGGCAATGAGCGTACAGACTCCTATACACGCAATGCAGATCAAGTTCTTGCAAACATCTGCTAGGATGTCTCTTTTCCCGACTTTTCCAGTACTGTTTCAGCCTTGTCGAGACAACTGACGAAGTCCACTGTCTGAGTTTGTGAAAACTGTTCGGTCACTAAAACGTACCGAAAACATGAATCATACACAAACTAAGAGTCACATATCCTTAAATTGAAGCTTATTAAAAAGTATGTAGACTTCACGTGCAATATTTCTTGCAACACATTAACAAAAGTCCCAAATTCAATACCAATTTTTTGTTTGACCTCAACTACAACACACCAATTTCAGTAACTATATCTTTCTTTTATACTTGAGCCTACCCACTACACATAACCCCATGAATGAAGCCTACCCACTACACATAACCCCATGAATGAAGCCTACGCCCTACACCTAACCATATGAATGAAACCTACCCACTACACCTAACCCTATGAATGAAGCCTACCCACTACACCTAACCCTATGAATGAAGCCTACCCACTACATCTAATCCCATGAATGAAAGCCTACCCATTACACCTAACGCTATGAATGAAGCCTACCCACTACACCTAACCCTATGAGTGAAGCCTACCCACTTCACCTAAACCTATGAATGAAGCCTACACACTACACCTAACCCTATGAATGAAGCCTACCCACTACACCTAACCCTATGAATGAAGCCTACCCACTACATCTAACCATATGAATGAAGCCTACCCACTACACCTAACCTTATGAATAAAGCCTACCCACTACACTTAACCTTATGAATGAAGCCTACCCACTACACCTAACCCTATGAATCAAGCCTACCCACTACATCTAACCCTATGAATGAAGCCTACCCACTACACCTAACCTTATGAATAAAGCCTACCCACTACACATAACCCTATGAATGAAGCCTACCCACTACACCTAAACCTATGATATGAAGCCTACACACTACACCTAACCCTATGAATGAAGCCTACCCAATACACCTAACCCTATGAATGAAGCCTACCCACTACACCTAACCTTATGAATGAAGCCTACCCACTACACCTAGCCCTATGAATCAAGCCTACCCACTACATCTAACCCTATGAATGAAGCCTACCCACTACACCTAACCCTATGAATCAAGCCTACCCACTACATCTAACCCTATGAATGAAACCTACCCACTACACCTAACCCTATGAATGAAGCCTACCCACTACATCTAACCCTATGAATGAAACCTACCCACTACACCTGTGGAAAATACTGTATATTTTCCGGAAATATGGTAATTTATAGGTAAATAGATGGCATATATTGCATATAATAAAAATTATGTTATCGAAAATGGGAAGAAGCTGCACCTGAGGAGAAAACACTCGCCATTGTTGTTTGAATCAACACAAACGTTAGTTAATAATGTGAAGAATTTTCGTGCTCTAGAGGTAAAATTGGGTTGACACCTCTCAAATAGGAGGCGAAATTGTTGGATGTGCATTCCTGCATAACTTGAGATATCAGACGACTGGACAAGACAGCTCCAGGAATCTCAGATAAGCTATATAGATTTGTGTTTTAATTCTGGCCAGTGTTATTTTCATAAATTTAGTTAGAATGAGGTTTTCTGAGTATGATACACCTTAATCTCCAGTCAAATTGGCGAGTGATATTAAGATATTCTCCTTCTTGTATGTAAGTTGTATATATATAATCGTTTATTAATTTTAATATACAGTCCACAAATTTTTATTTACCAGAATTCCTGGTGATGTATCTTTTATTTATAATTAATAGGTCTAGAGCAACTTGTAAATAAGACAGTTGTAGGTATTGAAGGTGGATATTTTTGCGACCTAGGTGTCCCAAATTCCTACTTGTCTATGTAACTGATAAATAATAATTATCTTTGTTATCATTTACTGTTATGTACATAATTAGTTACATTCAGATAAATGCAATTTTCCACATTTAATTTTGCCCGTTGGTTCTTCTTGAACCGGAGGTAATTAGTGAAGTCATTAATTAGTTAATTACTTAATAATTATATGTGAAATGACAGAAGGAGGTGGATGTTAAGTTCACAAATTTACTTAATGTGTAGTGGATTATAATTATTACAATATTAATTTGGATAAGCCAAGTGTAGCTAAAGATTATATTGTGTATAATATATTAATTTTTCTATGCCAAATTCTGGCAAGGATTTATATTAATTTGTATAATATTAATTTGATAAGACAATTCTGGCCAAGATTTATGTCAGTGTATGTGTAATTGATAAGCTAAGTGTAGCTAATTATATTAATGTGTATAACATTAATTTTGCTATTCCAAATTCTGGCAAGGATTTATATTAATTTGTATAATATTAATTTTGATGAGGCATGTCTGGCTAAAGGTTTGTATTAATGTACATTTAAAATTTATATAATTTTCTTACATGTGTAATTACTAAGCTCAAGTATAGCTAACAGTATTAATGTACATTTAAAATTTATATAATTTTCTTACATGTGTAACTGCTAAGCTCAAGTGTAGCTAACATTATTAATGTGTATTTAAAATTTATATTATAATTTTCTTTCATATGTAATTACTAAGCTCAAGTGTAGCTAACATTATTAATGTGTATTTAAAATTTATATTACAATTTTCTTACATGTAATTGCAAAGCTCAAGTGTATTTAGGATTTATTCAAAGTTAAGTTGTATCAGCGTTGTAAGTCATAATCAGTGTTATTAATTAAGTTGAATTTAATGCATTGCATTATGGCTCTAAATGAAGAAATTAATGTACAAGACAAACATTTGAAATATTGAGCAAAACAAGCATCACTGCAAGCTAGAAAGGGACATGTAACAAAAGCATACAATAAATGTTTGGAATTAATGAATCAAGAAATTGTGAATACTGACGATTTAAAATTGTATTTAGATGCTTTAGGGAATAGATATGATTCATACAAATTATATTGCAACAAATATGAAGGAGATTTGTTAGTAAACTGTGTAGATGAAACTGAAGTAGATCTTATGATTAATCAGTATTATGAATTAGAGGAAAATATTCTTTCTTGTAAAAGTCAGGCCTTGAATAAATTAAAATGTGTAAACCAGGCAGTTAATCAATCTGCTCCAACAAATAAGATGTCTTTACCAAAACTCCCAGAATTATGTTTACCTGTATTTAATCCTGGAGAGAACTGGGAGGAGTTTTGGTCAATTTTTAAAGCAGCTGTTCATGGTAGGAGTGATGTAGCCTGTGTAACTAAATTATTTTACCTCAAAGGACAGATTAGAGGAGATGCTCACATACTCATACAAGCCTTTCCCAATGTAGATGACTCTTACAAGGAAGCAGTTGACTTGTTGAAAGTCACTTATGGTAATATACAACAAAGTAGGTTGGATCTAGTGAATATCATTGTTAATTTAAAATCTCCAGATCACACTTACAAAGGTTTACAGCAGTTTAGAGTTAAACTGGAGAGCACTCTCAAAACTTTAAGTAATAATCTGAAGGAATCAGACTGGTTATTGAGTGCCATGGTACAGAATAAATTAAGCTGTAAAACACTTGAATGGCTCTCGAATAAATAT